CTGGAACTGGAAATCCAGCGAGATGTCCAGAAAAAAAATATGAACTCTGATTCATCCGATGAGAAATTCCGTCAGGTCATTATCATTAAGAGCGTCTCTTTCTCCTTTCTTTGTATAGACGAAACGAGAATGTGGCTCCTTTCCTAGTACTTGTACGCCTTCAGCAAGGTCGTTGAGAATAGCCTGCCCCTGCGTACAAACCACAGAGACTCTCGAGGAGAGATTTTGCAGCCTGGAACCTTCTTATCGCGTCCCTTCGGTACCGTTATAATTACCCCCGTCATGAATCATGCACGTCTTTTGAGTGGGGCTGAGAAAATCGAGGACCACAGCGATGTTCCGGCATTATACATTACACACCCTTTATCGAAAGTAAAAAGAATAGAATTCTGATGACGAAATAAATGTTGTATGTTGATGGAAACACATGCAATTGTTTCTTCGGGGCGATGGAAAAGTCATGCAACCCATTCCCGACACACTACCATTTGTCAAAAAATAAATTCCACTAGAATCAGATAACAAAAACAATTTTATATTGTAAATGTACCGCCACGGTGGCCTAACGCTGGCCTTGTAATCCTGGGGTCTCGGGTTCGATTCCCGGTGGTGCCCAAATTTATAACTTGTGTTGGGCAAGACCGTGGTCTAGGCAACACGGAGTTTTCCTCCGGGGATTCCCCGGTTTCTCCGTGGCATCCCAACAATTACTTCACATTCATCATCATTTACATACAGAAGAAGGCAATGGCAAACCACTTCTGAATCATCTGCCGAGTAAACGGACCTGTCGTCAGACAGAACACTAATAATAAAAATAATAATCACAAAGTATTAAGCAATGCCTTTTTTACAGCTTATGTCCCTCATGTTTGTTGCAAGCCGATAAACAATTCCTGTGTCAGGGAAAAGGTTCACCAGACGAAATACTCTCCTTTTGTTTGGCACAGGACAATGAGGAAACAATCTGGCAAGTTAAAAGAAAGCAAGAAAGACATGCCAGGTAGTGTTCGACAATGAACACTCGTTTCACTTCTGAGAAAGACATCCTTGCATTTCGATTGTTGAAAGACAACTGAAGGAGGACTGGCGCGAGCAGATTACAACATGTCGTGACCTGCGTGGGATCTTGTACACACGCAGCGATATTGTGTATGTATTAATCCAATCGAACTGTATTGAATTGCAACCATCAATAAATATTTTTTTAATGTGGGTTACGTGACTTTACGGTTTAACAATATATGAGGAAGCCGAGCTTCGGATTCATCGCCGTGAAAACCCCAAATCCCATTACGGAACTTGTGTATGTCGGAATTGAGTACGAGACACGTGGCTTCTTGGAGTTACAAATGTAAAACTAGAATGGGTAACGTAAAGTGAACAATTAGAATGTTGCATGCAAAAGAACTACGATTTATACACATCAGATACTTTTGTTCGGATAATAACGCAAGTGACCAAGATGGTCTTGGAATGTGGCTTGGTTGAATAAAACAAGGATGTATGTAGAATTTTGGTAGGGAACCCTTTGGGAAACAGGCACTCGGAATATCAAATGGATTCGGAGGGGGGAGGGGCAGTGAAATCTAAAATCTACAATGGGATGAATACAGAATGTTGATGTGGAAGTCGCAAGTATAATTTAAGATTTATTATACGGTATTCAGTAAAAAGAAAAAAAGTGTGTTCCGTTTTTAAGAAAGGTCTGCAGCCGAAGGGAACTTGAAATTGTACATGACAACAGTGCACCTATGTCTATTCTTGAAAGGAGTCCTTGATGTCCTGTCAGATGACTGCGAGAGATGGCGGGATAGTGACATCTGCAAGGAAATCCGTCAGCGTCAGGTTCGCGGCAGACATGAAACTCGGCAAGGCGAACAAGTGCGGTTTTATTAATCATGACGACCAGTTTTCGTCACATCAAACTGCCCGATAGAAGGCCGTACACTGAAGGTGTGTCGCGTTGTGCGGTAAGAAAGTGTTCTTCGTGGTGTAAGGACAGACCATCGGTGGTTCAAATTAACGTTTCTCTCAAAAGTATTTGACCGCGAGACGCTTTCTGTCACGAAAGATGCCACGATATTTTACAGAAGGACAAAATACGGCATTAATAATTGAATAGTTCAAGAAGTCTTCAGCGTCGATTAAGATGGAAAAATGATAATTAAGTGGCAGCGGAATAGGAAGGCGGAGGTTGTGGCCTATTTCACGACGCATATGCATATTTATTTCATAGTTCCACCAAATGTACCGTGTATTCTGGTGGAAGGAGTTAACGGACGTTTCAGTGGCGTTTGCTGCCTTCATCATCAGGGTGATGCCGCCGTAATAAAACGTTCTGCAAACTTCTACCAGATTACACGGCTCAACAACCTAGAAGACAGCTTTTACGCTACCCGCGTTAGCGAAATAAGCAGAACCCTAGGATTAAGTGGAGAGTGAATGAAGGAAAGTTTTTTATGTGGTATGTCTTTCACTACTACAGATTAAACTACTTACAATGTAATTTTTAGTGTGTGTGAACATTTCCATTATGACGAGAAATACATGTGTTACAACACTATAACAGCCAAAGTCAATTATATATAATCACCGTCCTTGACGTGAGTCAGGCATTGCTAACCTACAAACATTACGCTGGAATGAAAATATGGTAAAATTTTCAACTGAAATATTAGTAATGTTTTTTGTTGATTCCCACGAAAAATACATTTCAAGTCGTAAAATACAGCTCGCGATTCTGTTAACTAGAAATATGTGTTTATTCCAGGACACGTTTTGTGTAAATCCGTTTTTCCTTCAACTCCTATCTCCCGTAGATCCCGCCTGACATTATTCTCCCATCTACGTCTAGGTCTCCCCAGCGGTCTCTTCCCCTCAGGCTTCCCAGCCTATACCCGGTGCACACCTCTTGCCCCATTCATGCGCGCTACATTGAATGGCAAATCTATCTCATTAAATGTTGGGATTTATCTCAATTAGAAAAAACTCTCCGATTGAAAGATCGAGTAGTATGGAGCAGGACGAGTGCCTATGGTAGCACCAATGGATGTAAAGCTCGCGGGAGGGACTCTGAGGGTCCCGTTTGTTTTCGCAGCTTGGGGAATGTCTGTCTCACCCTTCAGCATCAAGGAAGTGCCTGTAGTGTGCTACAGTAAGCTGAGTTGCCAGATTGTACTCATTGGATCTACTGAAGGTTTTGATCTGTACAGCAAAATTATTATGCTCACTATTACACAGTATTGTTTATTTCTCCACTGTGAACAACTTTGTTCGGTCTTTTGATACACCCTCTTCTTCACAAGTCAATCAGCCGCGTTAATTTTTACAGACGTACGTCTTGGCTAGATCAGGGGTGGAAATGGAATTCTCCGATCATAGCTCACATATTTTCCTTTCCAGGGATTTATCTCCACCGATCGCGCTGTCGTAATGGTAATTTAGCTCAGGCAATGTGCCCATTCATTTATTTGTCCGAACCTTAGACGCTCTGTGGGAGATTTTATTTTCCTCACAAATTCCGAAATATGACATACTATACCGGGTGTCCATAAAAACCCGGAAGATTTGAAGGGCGTGTAATTACTTATTTGTAACAAATACGAAAAACTTATGTGCTAACTTCCGCGACCATGTGCAAAAAAAACTTGAATGTTGTGCGACTTTTGCAGTAGAAAAGTTTTTCGTATATGTTGTAAACAATTACACACCCTCAGATCGTCTGCTAATTTGTGAACAACCTGTATACATATTCTCGTATCTCGTCCGAGATACGCAGTTAACATAATTGACCTATCACAGTACTACAGGTGACAGACAAGCCGACAAGTCATTGTCTTCTCCAGCACGTCTCTTTGTCGCTTTGCTAACGCCAAATCTTGTGTCGACTGGGCGTGTTAATGCGAGGTTTTTAAGCGCTGAATTATTCTTTGCCTGTTACACAAATCCACACTGTAGCGAACCCGTAGAACCTTTTATTGTTAGTGTAACTGAAATTAAGTAGCGCGTCGTGATACTTCTGTTGTGCAAACGCGCAACCGCGGCAGTGTGCGTCTGTCTAGAATAGTTCTTGCTTCGTCCAACCAAGAAAGTTGTGGCGCTGGACAGGAATCTCCAGTTCTGATCTTTCCCCTGCTTTATAAATGTCCACACGGCCTGTAAGATGCTGCTCTGGACGTCTCGTTATTAATTTCACCAAACGACAACAAAAAGAGAGTCAGAACAAAGGCCAGAAATGCAGAAGAGAAGACAGGGCGTCGTTGTAACTTAACAGCGACTGCTGATCTATTATGCAGTCGCCCCACGTTCCGCAGCTTACATCATTACATCGGATCGCCGTGAGACTCGACCTCGCATGTCTGAAAGGGCGCCCCATTAAAAATGAGTGGAATTTATTTATTCACCTTCCCTTATAAGAAACAGATTGAAGATCACAGCGGAGATTGTCCGGTTTCCTTTTAACTACCCAGTAGCTTTTCTTTCGGAACGGGTGTTTCCAACGAAAACCGGAATTATTTCCATTTCGCTGATTTCGAGAGTCGATTCGAGAATCATATTTCCTGAAACCTCGCGACATTGTCTTCACAGAAGAATAATTGCTTCTATTATTCTGACTGGATGACTCATAAGTTAGTTCTAACCTCACCTTTATACGTTCTGCCTCTGTTCTAACTGGATGACCCATATTTAATGTAATTTGTCACGTTTTTCCACGTTCTAGACTTAAAACACACTGAACTGTAGTAGCTCTGAAGTGTTCATGATACTTAAATGTGCGCCAGCATCCTAGAAGCGTCTCTGAGTCATTGATACTCTTTCGTAATCGAAGATCATCCTGGAAGCTGGGGATCCTGAGATTTTTCGTGATTTACGTCAGTCCCTCCATGTGATGATAACCTTAGATATAAATTCAGACCGCTTTCCACAGACTTTCCAGCTCATCACCATTTAATTATATCGGGTTCGTAAATGTGATGTGATGTCCTTGTGTGTTTCAGGGAATGCCCGAAGTGCCATGAGGCGGCCGCTGCTGGGGGAAGTCCCGGGGGTGTAATGGACTGGGGATTCCCCTCGAATCTCCCCGAGTCCCGGCTGCCGCGTCTTTTCCTACTCATCTTCATCCTAATCATGGCAGGTGCGTGATTCTTGGTGTGTCGCGTTGTTACGACGCGGATATCTTTTGCCCTCATTTTAACCGATGAAAATTCGGCAGTGTTGTTAGGGCGATTAAAATAGAGGAGGAAGTTGGCGGAACGAGTAGCACGCGTGGTGAAATTCAGCTGGCTCAGGATAGGACCCAGTGGCTGACTGTTGCGAACACGGTGACGACCCGTCGGCTGGCACAAAGGCAGGAATTTCCTGAGTGTTAACTTTTCAAGGAAGACTATTCCGAGGAGAACACTTCTGGGATTGATATTATGCCGAGTATATTAATTTTTCTTTAATTCATTATCCCATCCAAGTTATCTTAGAAGTCAGACTAACAGAACGCTAGAAATGACGTAATGAATATATGTGAACACCAAACTATAATAAATGATGTTGCTTGCATGTAATTTATTCTATTTTGTAACGTGGAAACACGATGTAAGAAGAGAGAAAAAACAATTACATGGCGCAGAGAAGTTAAAGTAGACGTACAGGAACATATTCATTAAGTGTTACACGTATTGAGTATTTAAATGTAATCTTTAATTGGATAGCATTACTGTGTCTTAAATGAGTATATCAAACATCACGAATGTTGTGCTATAAGCTCATTATGAACGGTGGAATTAAGCTCAGTTGATGTTGTAAATACTTTCTGCTATTAAAGTAACCTGATTCGTCTTAAAAAATATTTTAATTCACAACCGACCTAGAAGTGAAAGAGTAACCTTTGACCCTTCAATATACAGCGGAAGATTTAGCGATTGTATGATTTAGACATGTAACAGTACAATTTCTGGAAATGACACCATAGGAATTTTTATTTAAAACATCTTTATACTTTAAATAACGCTTCTATGTTTATTGTTTAAAAACAGTTGTTGGATAACGCCCTGGTCCAGTTCTGAACTCGATAATCTCGTTTTATTTAGTAGTAGCCTGATGCAATTGCTGAATCAGAGTTAAGGTATTGGCAAGTCAAAGCCAAGTCATGTCGTAACCGCCATTACGGTAATGATCGCGAATGGCCTTCACTCACAATGAAGTAAGGATGTCAGGAGCCCTCGTCATTAGTTTCCAGTTGGCTACTCCGTCCTTTTCTTTTCAGATAACACTGTGACGTTTCCAATTCCAGTAGCAACAAGTTTCAAGGCGTTCAGGATCTTTGGCCTGGCCGGTCCTTGTAATTTGTTGGCAACCATCTGTCACTTTGAACATCGTTCGTCAACTTTTTTTGGTTTCTCGGACCCCTTCCTCTAAATCATCTAATACGCAACAATATGGCGGCCGAGCGAATGTTTTGACTTAGCGTCCTGAAACGTCGGTAAACTTCTACCGGACTACACGGTGCAACACCCCAGAAGACAGCCACCTTCAAACAGTTTAAAGTTGCTTGGGTAGACTAGCCAATGGTAAAGTGGTGTCTGGCTTCCAGAAATCTGGACATGTCTGGGTAAAATCTCGATTAAAGCTCCGGCTACCATGGGCACAAGTTTTCGTTGTTTTCTTCAGTTTCTCTAGTTGAATGCTGAGACCATGATAATATGATGTTGCCATCTTTCATATCCTTTCCAGTTAACTCTACTTTAAAATAATTTTTCTCGCGCTTGTTAACCTCTGTAGTTGATACAGCGTAATTAAATAAACTGCCTAAGATTGTATAATGCGACAGTTGGTGTCTCTGGACATCCCTGCCTCACGTTACTGTTTCTGAGAAGTTCTTAATTTGCACTTTCGTTAGTGTTGCAGCAAACACGTGCCTAAATTAGCAGTCCTAGGCAGAAACACTAGAGGGTTGAGACTTTGAACAGCACGCACATTAGATTTATAGTACTCGGCTTCAACACGTGAAACGTGACTTCTCAAGTCGAATTTGAGAAGACATTACTGGTTACTAGACTTTGAGTACCGAGGCACCACAAAGCATTTCATTGCAGGAACTTTACAAGTTCGCACGTACGATACGACTTTTGAAAATAGGTTCTTGTATGACACATTACGTATTATGATGTTTATTCGATTAAACGCAGCAAGCAAATAAAGATTAATTTATACAATTTTCCATGGTCATGTCCCATCTATTTTAACAGCCATTAATTATGCACTTTGTCCACACGTTATACTGAATTTCACCGAATTAGTTGCTAATTAGAACGCTATTGGCATGTGTAAATCGACTACGAAGATATACTCGGACGAAAATTTATTAGCTTTAAAGCTAGCCTCTAGTAAACTGTCCTTTTGCTTTCCACGAAAAATAGCTTTGCTGGCTTCAAAGAACTTGAGTCCAGAAAACTTTTCCAAAATAGGAAATATGCCTAAGAGGAAGCTGGATAAAAGTGAACAACAAAACATACATTTGCATTATTTACCAAATCATGGAGGATGAGATGGGCAGGTCATGTAGTACGCACGAGAAGGGACCTATGGACATAACATTTTAATGGGGATGCCTCAGTGGTTCCATTCCCGAGGTATAACCATAGATGGAAGGATAATATTAAAAGGACAGTAAAATAAATAGAATGTGACAATTTGGTCGCTTTGTCTTCCGGTTACATCCTTCTAGAAACTATGAAATCACAGTATTTTGCTACAGCGCTGCAGTTTCACAAAAAGAACTTCTTTACATGTAGGACTGCAGTTCTGCGTAACCTGTACTCATTTTAACCGAGAGATTGGAGGACATCGTAAATGAACGGCAGCATTGCGTCATATTCAGGAAGTCGTGGGTCCGATTCTCGGCTGGAAAGATATGAAGCAAGTCATACAGAAACCAATTCCAATTAATTGGACTTTTGATATTTAGAGAGATTTATCTGATTTCTCAGTGCGCTGCGCTGAGAGGAAAATTAACCGGATCTCATGTTTTAGAAATGTTATTTTATTTTTCAGTACGCTGCGAGGGATGCAAAGTGGACAAATGTTCACGAGAATACGAAAGGCTGATGGATGAACGAGATATTCCTAGTCCAGAGCCTTCGACCGAGTTCTGCCAAGTGGCCAGAGACTACTTATCTTGTCTGAGAGGAACGGCGCGGTCCTGCCGGGGTAACCTCAACTACCACTCCACCATGAGTACTCTGGGGCGATTAGGCAGCGAGTTCAACTGCCCCAGACTCCTTACGAACATCACGTCGGCGGGACACGTCCCTTTACCGTCGTCCAGCTCAGCGCCTCCCCGGACGACAAACACACCCGCCCCAAAACGAGAGTGCACGTATCAGGGCAGGCACCGATTCAAGCACTGTGGCCTGTTCGGCGATCCGCACCTAAAGACGTTCAAAAACGAGTATCAGACGTGTCGAGTACGAGGCGCGTGGCCTCTGATTGACAACCCGTACATCGGGGTCCAAGTCACCAACGAGCCCGTCGTGGACGGATCTCCTGCAACAGCCACGACGAAGGTAAGAGTCAACATCCAGCAAACAGGATCGACCCTTCTTTCCTGTTCTAATGAAATTGGCGATTTGCCAGTGTCATGAAGACGACAGCCTTCTGGGATACTGCGCCGTGCAGTCTCGTGGCGTTTGACAGACGTTTCAGAGATTCGTACTTATTGATTCCACTTTGCTACTGTTTTTTCCCCCTCTGAGGTCAAATGGTTGTAATATTTCATGATCCAGGAGACATTTGCTCCACGTTTCCAAGAAAACGCGATATAAAGACCAACCGTGCAGTGTTAGGAAAGTAAAACCCCGCAATAATATGCACATACACTTCTGAAACTCTAGCTTCCCCCGTTATGTAGGTAAAACGCATCACATGTGTGTTATGCGTGGCTTTGCCACCTATTAATTAACCCGAGCTTCCTTACAGAAATAGCGGACATATTACCCACATTTAATCGGTGCAAGATAGGAGGTTCTCGCCGCGGTGAAGGGCACTAACGCCTTGTAAGCGTTTCGGAGGAATACATTGACTCCTTATTCAGGGCTAGAAATAAGGCTGAAGGTGCTCAAAGTTAGTTTCAAACCGTGAGTCTTGTGTCGATAACGATAACCAACGTTTCGGAAGTACGCATCGCTTCCATCTTCAGGATTGGCATCATATACAAGACTATAATCCCGGAATACAGTTGTCACTCGGTCGGGTGGTTGGAGACAGTTTTTTTCCTCGTCCAAATATGACGCGCAAGTGTGGCTGCTGACAGCTTCTCTTCGTAGCTATAGGGTAGGTGAGGGCAGAGGCAAACAGGCGTGGGCATTGGGCCCAACCCAACAAAATACTCTCTCTCCCCCCGCACCTGTGTTGCATTCCGCTCGCAGCTGGAGTACATGTGTTTCAGAGCTGCTGGCTGTTGAACATGGGAAGCCCACTCAGTGCCTAATTTCGAAATCAAATGCGACTTATTACCAGCTCCGCGCACATCAACCATTTGACATTTACGATCGACTCACTTGGTTATTTCTCGACGCTGTATTAAGTGACGTTCATTTTCTACAGCTGTGAGATTTTAGGTTCTCAAGGCGTCGACTAATGATACTATTTTCTTTTTAAATTTTGGTTAAGTTGGTTAAAAGTGAGAATGCCAAAATGATCACCAGAAATATTTTTTAACTGTTTTAACGTAGTTTGAGTCCCAGTGTGTTTCTTTTCTCCGTTTGTAATTCACTTCCTGTTTTTGCTAATATTAGACGATTCCAGATTTAGGCCTCGTGTCTAGTTCTTCAGTTATTTGAAGGCGCTGTATCAACCGCTGAGGTTATGAGCGTCGGACGAAACATTTTGACTGCGAATTATCGATCCGGAGGGATGCTTGTGGAAGCGTAATTAGTTGCTTAAACTTAACCTCGATTTACGAGAGGTGACCGTGAAAGATGTCGGAAAACGTCAGGGTAGGTCTTAACCAGTCGGGAATCGAATTTTCTGTCTCCAGTGCAACTCCGCAACTTCACACCTGGGGCCTTACGTAAACCATCTCTTTTGGCAGTTTTTCAATTAGCAGTAAAATGTAGGGTCCGCTAGAGGCAGAGTACCCCAGAGACTTGAGTCTCACACCCCATCGCAAACAGCAAATAACAATGCAGTACAGTGTAATGTAAACCATTTTGGGGTGTGTCAAGATTTTAGAACTGAAATCTTTTTGAGACGGCTTCATATTTATCCTGGGTCTATTGGTTCTGCTTGCCGACCGGAAATACAACAGGAAGTATTACGTCATATATCAAAACAAATAAGTGGTGTAGTTTGAGCTTTCTCATTCTGAACCTTACCCCCCCCCCCCCCCCCCCAACCACATTCTTATCTTCTTATCGTATCAACAACTTGTTACACGCTCATTTGGTCGGCACATCATTATTATCATTATATTATTATTATTAAGAATTTATTAATTGTTTAAAGGTAGGGCGAAGTTATTTTTTACTATGACCATCTGCCCAAAACCATATTTCCCAAGTATTAATTACTTATTGACATATTACACTATTGGTTGTTTGGTTTGGTTTTCACGTTGATGCATCTGAAAAGTTTAGGTATAACTCTTGTTTCTTTACCCATGAACGTAGAGGTGTCCCAGCTATTTGGTTTCTGTACTACTGTTGTCCTGAAGATGGCCGTTTCGCCGTGTAGTCTTGTATAAACTGACCGACGTTTCATCGGTGCTTATTGCTTCATCAAAACAAACTCAGCGCCCTGATGATGGAGGCAGCAAACACCTCCGAAACGCCTGTAAACTTCTACTACACTCACAGCACAACTCAGAAGACAACCATCTTCATATTCGCCGCCTTGAGAACCTCGTATATCACAAATTATGAATCTAGTCATTGCGCAGTTTCTCCGGCCAGTTACTTCCTCTCAAGTCGAAAAATTCCCAACGCTCTGTTTCAAAAAAAACTTTCATCCCAAGTCATTGTTTAAAGTGTCCCGTGTAAAATATTAATAGGCTTTTTTAAAATCGTATTCTTTTCAGTCTCTGTTAAAATATGACTCAAACTATTAACTTTCTTGACAGGTAATTTCGACCGAAGGAAGTATTGTGAATCACTTTTGCCATAAGCACAGAAGGCGCCATTGAATGTTATAACTGTTCTAAAATCCAATAAATCAGGCGCAGGTAGTTGCCGTGTAGTGTCCTAAATACAGCGTGTCCCACTTAAAACGCAATCCTAAATTTGGTCACATCAAAGTTACAAGATTTTTTTTCTTATTTGTCAGGAAAAACTTACAGAACAGCCTAACAGCAGACGTCCATTACCTTTCCGAAGACAAACACTTCCTGTATGCCGAAATTTTGTTACCAGTCGTTTTACTCAGCACTTCCTTGTCAGGATTCGCATCGCTAAATATTTCACGAACAGTAAAAGACGATTTCGATTCGAAGTAATGCTCGAGAATGAACACACACGGGTTGCTTGTGACAACACCATGTACCAACCTGCACAGCTTTCTCTTCACGGGGGCTGAAGCCACATTCCTGACAGACGCACACAAAATAAATCGCTTGACTCTATACGCAGACACCACCGCAGCCTCGTCTGTATTTCCTGCTACCAGAGTCGCCACGATCCGATCTTAATTTCATTTTCCTTTCGCAGTACACTGCGTTATGGCGTTGGTAATTAGGAGTAATTTTCTTTTAATTGTATTAGTGACCACATATCTTCACCGACATCTCAGTCGTATGTTTCCGAATATTAAAGATTTGTATCATGGGTCAGAGGGGACCAGCCTTGCAGGTTGCATAGTTCTGTAGCCGAAGGTATTACGAAACCTTCGAAAATGAAAAAGCAAGAAAGTCGTGACCTTGAGAATTCTTTTTGTCTTGAAAAGCCGTCGTTAAATGCAGGTATGTGTCTTCTCCGTCGTCAGAATAGCAGTTTCTCACCCAATTTATATGTAATCTTTCGGTGGCTATTCTAGTTAGTATACCGAGTGTGGAAGTCTCAGTTCTTAAGTATCGTCATTGCCATACGAAATAAACGAAACGACTGTCAGATAAGAAATGATTACACGCGAAAATTATTTTGGGCAACTGCGTATATTTTTCACTGACTGACAACAGATTAGGAGACTCTTGATGATCCGTGAACCTCGCTACACCACTGACCTCTATCATTAGTAAATAGTAAATAAACTAGATTGTTTCCTCTACACCAGCGCCTTTTCTCCACAAATACGAACTAACTGTCCTTGCGTTCTAATTATGATTCGTCTACATGTCACCGTTCTTGATGAAAAATACATTTTCTTCTTCTCCGAAACGAATGGGCACTCCGCCATTACGCTGTGACAGTAGCGTGAATTATAATTAAGTGAACATCGTTGAACCCCTAAGCAGCGTTGTTGCCAAATCACATTTAGTCAGTGGACTCGTCTTAACTAGAACATTTATGCTACAAGTAGAGGGGTTATTATGGGCAACTGGGAGTGGTTAAAGTCATCCGACCATGATGTTAACATTTCTCTTTTTTTGCAGGTGACAATAATCATCCGCGGACGGAGTACGCCTTGCGCCGACGAGAAGACGTACGAAGCAGCCTCGGATGCTTCTCTGCCTGCCACGTTCATCGACGGCACCCAGCGGTCTGGGCCCGATGCAAGTGTCGTGCTGACTGTGCATGAACAGCAGCGAATCGAAATTTATGTGCGATATATCGAAACCACTCTGATCGTGCGCCAAGCTGGCAGATACCTGGCATTCTCTGCGCGTATGCCAGAGGAACTCGTGAACTTCAGCGGCGGTGCCGATGGAGATTTCAGTGACAGTAGTCTTCAGCTGTGTGTACGCGGGTGCCCTGCGTCAGAACGGCTAGACCCAATCTCCGAAAGAGGTCACAAGCTTCCGTGGAATAAGGCCATGGAACGCTGTCGTAGGTCAGATAGCAACGAAGTCACTAACAATCTGACCGACCATTATCTCGACTGGTGTGTGTTTGATGTCATGACGACAGGAGATGGTGCCAGTGCAAACGATTTCGCGGCTGCAGCACACTCCGCCCAAGCCGATGTCCTCAGACTTGATCCCTCGTCCCTCAAGAATAAAACCACGACTCACCGAGAACAGAATCCATATTATTCTCACGCGTCTCTCTTACGAAGCCCAAACGTAATACTCGTGCTTCTTGGGACAGTATTTCAGTGGACACGAGGTGTTCTATAATGGCGTTACTTTCACCAGGTGTTGCAAACTCTGAAAATATGGCACTAAAGGGCCTGGTGCATCCTTAACGGTGGAGACAAGATTCGAAGCAAGTTAAGGGATTAAGGTACAAAATAAACGCGACACACAAAGGGGTTATTTAAACGTTATAGGAAGAACAGATGTGTCGCGTGGGTTCAATGTCAATTGCTTTTCAGATCGTCTTATTTAAAGAAAAACCGGGCCTATTAAAATTGTGCCCCTTTGAAAGCTTCAAGGTTGAGATATTTGCTTTCGAACGCTGGTCATCTGCTCTCCGCTGCGAAAATTTTCTCATAAAAACAGGCCACTACAAACAATCAGATCAAGGAACGTATTCGAAACATTCCCTCGCCCAATTGCAATATGATCTTAAGGAGGACCCGCGTGTTTTGTCAGATATCAGAAAGGACGTTTCCTGATTTGTTGGTGCAACAACTGTGATCTCAGAAGAAGAACAAAGTGGACAGTCACCTTTGACGACTTGCGTTACGACTTTTTTCGTAAGGTCACTTTCTCATTCTGCAGATACTTAAACTCCGTATTTTTACTTGTTCAATCTCCGAGAAAACTTCCAGCTCATCTACCTGCCATTAACATGGACGTACATTTACAGACTGCAGGAAGTCCAGTTTATCACGAGACCGTCAGCCTTGAAATCTGAGGTTGGTAGGCTACCTGCTTCTTTCCCGAAATCTAGCCATAAATAATAATGGACCTTTATTGGACGAAGCAACAAATTACAAATTAATTCTGACACTTTCTTTTGATAAATTGACTTAAAAATGAAGAATTGTTTAGGGTATTTCATCCAGTACGATGCTGGATACGTACAATTAATAATTATTTCGAGTTCTTGGCGAACGATTGGTAAAGTGTCCAGAAACTTTCTTTAAAGGTGCGAGACCTCCACAAAAGTGAGGGTGGGGTGGCACTTGAAGACTTTTTTGAACTAAGGCAGTCCATACTACAGTAAAAAATGAAGCTTTTTCTCTACAATGCAGGAAGTTTGCCGTAATACCGTAGAGACACGGGCTCATGATAAACTAGACACTCCATCACACCAATTGCTCGCAAATATAATTTATTTTAAGATGCTTTTCTTGATGAAGATTTGAGATTTGATCTTATGGGTAGTCAGGCAAGCCTACAAGAACGGTTTTCTGATTTTTCAAAAGCATTCTCCATAAAACGTAGTATTTCTGGACACGTGAAAGTATTTCGACGTGGCCCTTGCAGATTGCGCACAGCCCATTCATTGTCTCTCTGTATATACGCTGTAAATATTCATATATCAAAGAAGTATTGCATTGTATTAACACATACATTAATATAAATATATACACGTACAGTATATATGCATGCGTGATTGTTACAGTTATATTAGTACGTAATAGGAGACGGGTGATCTTAAGAATGGAGGAGACTCAGCGAAGCGCACTGGGACCTGGTACTTGCTTTTGATCAAAATTTTACGTATGCTTCGGTTCGTGAATGGGCGAGTCTCGTTACATTAACATACAAAAAGAAAGTCTTACTTCCATTATGTACTGTACGTAATGATTGTTACGGTGGGATAAAAGATATTTTTATATCCAAAACCCTTCTTCAGAGAAGATGTTAGATTGAAAATACAGTATTTACCATTTAATCACAAATTAAAGTGACTTCTATGCAAATAAATTAGCCTACAACTAAAAATGAAAAGGAGATACAGGCCTCAGTGAGGGTCACATTCTTGGAAACACTAGTGAACCCTAAAACCAAGATGGGCGAAGTGAGGGTTTAATGAGAAAAATGGGTTTAAGGAAACGAAAGACACATGAAATATGAAAATTTTAAATACATTACGACCTATAATTGATCTTCATTGTATGTATGTTATATAATTTAAACTTTTAAAATTTTAAAATTAAACTTATAAATTTTGAAATGTGGATACTTTGTAGCCATCTTCCACACACTCTAAATTGTGAAAAAATTTAAATTGCCGGCTCATGTTTGAAAGAATAAAATTCACTTCAAATCATTTCTTTGTGAAACAGGTTCATAATACGGAACAAAATATTTTTAATCATCTGATGCGGGTGTACAGATAGTTCTCTGTGCATTCATAGATGTCAGCACTGAATGAAAGTGGCAGCTGACATCAGCTGATTTCAGTGATAGACTTGGTGGCCTCCGTGCCAGGGGATCAATGAAGAAGCCTATACACAGTGTTTTCATTGTCTTAGCTACCAAAATTATACTTTATGTAGTCAGTGGGGCCACAAGGTGAACTCCACAGCCTTGAAAATTATATAATTAAAGTTAGGATGAAAGGTGTCTCCACTACATGTCACGGAGGCACAAGAATGAAGATGGGGTGTAGCCCCTACTCGTTCTTTATCTCGTCACTAGATGGGGTGAGTGGTCAGTGTCACCCTGGTCGTACTTTGCCCCAGGGAAAGGACCATCAGTACCAACTAGACGAGGAGGAATAGTTCCCAGAGCTAGAAGAAAAATTCTCTTCCCTGTCAGGGATCAAACCCCAGAGTCCAGTCGATAGACTTGGCTGCTCTCGTCTTCTGATGAAAAGCAGTAGCAAGTGTTCTAAAACACGAAACAGGTCTTCATTCTTAGTAAGATACTGAGAATTATTAATAGTTTTGTGGGAGACGAGATACAATGCTTCTTGACAACTATTCTGTAGTTGATTTGTGTTAACAGTGTGCTTAGTGAGCTGAGTCCCTAAACAATGGAGGTGAATTAGAGACTCTTACGAAACCCTAAATTTGTTTACGATACCAAGAATCATATTCTACCAGTTTTTAGCCACATGCCTTTATTATCCCAGTTTTTTTTGTACTGGAAAACCACTTTCAAGCAATCGAATATTGTGAATTCATTCAATCTTTATTCACTAAAATTTCTCAGTATTCTAGACTCGTCCTTTCCTTAATAAAATGTCTTCCCGAAGTGCCTGAAAAGCGCGGGCATCTCCTTTCCACCCAAAAAATCCCCACTATTCTGCGCACTTTCTCTGTTCTGGATGAAATATTTTCTCCCGGTGTGACCTAATGCTCTATCAGCCAGACTTTGTCCATCCTTGAGTTGGCAATGACTGAGATTCTCACGGTTTCTTCAAGTAAGTACTTTTCAGTACGCAGTGACTGCTACATTAACTCCTTACGGCCAAAGAGGCAAATGGTTAGGTTAGTTTCTCACACTTCTGCGGAACACAAAGGAGAGGTAATTACAGTAGCAGACAATTCTGGCATCTTTCGGCCACATTTTAAACCACCTGTTTGGAGCTTGTCAGCAGTTAACATTCACATTCTTCAACAGAAGAAGAAGAAAAGAACACTAATGCCGAGCTGTAAGATTCAGTTCTGTTCTGTTCCTTGTTTCCACACTCAAAAACTTTAGTACGGATGGATGAATTAATTTTTTATCTTAGAAATAAAAATTAGATTTGTTCACACAGTTTAATGAAAGAGTTTTCACTCTAAAATAAAGAGTAATTCTTGATAAAGCATCAGACGTGCGTGAAAGTGGTAACGGCATGTATTTTCATCCCCACCCCAATAAATATTTCAGACATTTGCTCCATCTTCATGGAAACTACGGTATTTCATATGAAACGTGACTGATTTACTTGAGTAAAAGTTATATTACATTTTAAGATGGCTGCTTGCTTTCTGGTACTTATTTTCATAAAGACAGAATTATTTAAATAGCAATTAGTTGTACTGTGCAATACGTAAAGCCATCGCTCATGTCAATATATTCGAGATCCCGAAGTGTCGACTAGCTTTCCAGATTTCTGTTGTTGATAGTGGTGTGTTCTGTAAGTGTGAAAAAGTGATTTTCTTGTAAAAATAGTTGTACATTTTATTTATAAAATTGAATATTGTGATGTGTAGGAAATAATATGGTTGATTAACCAAATACAAATATAATGACATTAAGGACATAAACATTTCTTCACAGTCGGCCCTTTTCCCCCAACATTTTTCAACAGGAGAAGATGTCAGTTTCCGACTCCGAAAACAGCCCATTGCAATGGTTTTTTTTTAACTACAGGGTACGTTCAATGCGAGCTGGCAAAGAGAAATGTTCTAGAAAGACTCCTGTCGGGAATCGAATCACAGCAGTCTCGTCCGTACCCAAAATCACGACCGACATTTGTCTCGGCGTTTCATATGTGGAGTACAAGTATGTTCAGGTTCGGGGAATGAAATGCTGACGAATTACAACTATATTATAAACTTAGAAGGCCGAATCCTTTAGAACCATAAGCTGCCTGTTAATGTCTTCGTCTATCTTGTTTTATTGTGGACGTCGTGCTCTGATTATATGAGTTATCTGACCACGAAGACTGAATGCACAACTTTACACGCATTTTCGACAATTCTTGCAAGTGGAAGGCGCGAGAGTGGAGTTGAAAGGTTATCACGCAAACAAGACGTGGCAGGCAGGCAGGCGTGAAAAATATCAACACGAGGAGAGAAGAGGTCATCTCATCGTGACCCTCAAGACATTTTTGTTCATCTACATTACTCATATTAACGGAACAACCAAAATACGTCACATTCTTCTGAACTTATTTGTTTAAAATTTCGGGTTTACGAAAGGTCTTGCGAAAACTTCTATTCCAGACCTGGAGCCCCATTCTTGTCGTTATGAAATCGCTTGTAGCAAGATTATAATTAGGGCAATTTCTTAAAAACTCTACTGCAGTTTATTAAACGATGCTGCTAAACTGGGCCTACTAATGCAAACAGGTTCACATACTACCTAATAATTCTGTTTGACAAGACCGGTCATTAGCGAGACACTTAAAAACACGTTTTGATTCAGTATTCTTTCGATATCACAATCATCTTATTGCGATTCGAATACGTCATTCTACGTGTACATCAGAAGGCCTATGACGTCTCATAGTTCTTTATTGACATTTCCTAATACATCATTTCTCCACTGTCAATTCGAGTCACCGCTGTAGTAACAATACAGAAATTACTGCACTGTGATCCAGGAATCCACAAGCAGATACTGCTCTCAAAAACTGCATTTCTATTATGTAACTATTTTTATACGTTTTTATTTTATTTTCGTTCTTCTTCTTCCGATAATCACGAAGGTGGATTACATTTTTGATAAGACGCCAATAAGTGCAATACACAAATTCTTGTATTCAAAGGTCAGCTGCTCCAATGTTCAAAGAAATGTGTTTACTCTATACTGACGTCATACTTGTAGTGCAGGTCCCACTCCATTCAGTGTTCCGTTCATTCATCAATTTACATTCGCTTCTACATGGCATATACGCAGATAGCAAACAACGCTGCAGTGAACCGAAGTGTACTTAAACGTGCGTAGGCTCCGTCCAGGTATGACGCAGCGGTAACAGCTTTTAAAATATGTAACGAGAAACCGAATGCATAAACACATCGTGAAAACGCAGGTGTAAGAATGCACGCATACACGAACTAATACTGTACAAGAGGCTGCTTATTCACTTATTCTGAATATTCTTAAGATAAAAATACACTATTCTGTCTTTCGTATTTCTATGGCAACTCTCGATTTTAAAAACGTCACAAATACTGTGTATGAAATTACGAAAGATGATACGTTACGAACAAATTATAATTATACTCTCAAAAGGAAACAGTTAAATACATTTAAATCTTAAGGGAACTGTTTCTTAACGAGTTACCTCGTCGTTAGCATTTAAAGGTAAACGCTCCGAACATCTTCATTCTCAACAGAAATTACCAAAGAGATTGGTTGGGCCTCAGGATCTTTCTGATGGAGACAGAATTCAAGTCACTTCACTCGCGTGACAGTTACAAACCAAAGATCAATTTTGTAACAAATCGGACAGAATATTTTTCTGAAATCGATATGATTATACCGAATTTAATTTCATTCTCGTTTAAAAATGTCCATATACGTCTTCATGCCTTTATAGCAAGCTTACATACATAAATCCCTTAAACATTTATGGATAGAAAATAATAAAACCTACTTCCAATAATTCTAAAATTTTCGTTACTTAAAACTGCAGCAACATGCATACACTGTTGCTAATTTATCGTTAAAAATCACTGACTGGTCTACATCGGATGATTATGGGCCCATCGTATCATTAGAATTAGCCCATATTATGAAAGCTTGATAGGCTTTCGTTCAATTATGCCCCATATTATAATTTACCATGCGTTTGTAGCATGGACCTAATAACGTATCAACTTGGAAACAATTATGACATTTGATTCATTTTTTTCCTACGTGTTAGACATTACATAATTGTCTAGCAACTGGAAATCATTTTACCACGTAAAGAATTGTAAATGGACTTCTCATTGTAAAGATAACAGTCAAATGATTTCATGAAAAATGTTAAATCCATTCTAAAAACTGCATTATAAGAACTAGAAATGAAAATACTCTTCTATCCAGCATTTTAAAAATTTATATTCCCGGAATCAAAAAAAAATTGCACGTGTTATTAAAGTTTTTCAGTGGCGCCAACTAGTCATGGAGACGAAACTGTTAAACCAACGAAAATACACGACTCAAGAAAGTAATCGTGGTATGAAAATAACACGCAATTCAAACCAAATGCTAATATGGCTGACAACTGAAGTTTTAAAGACTTACGTATTCTTAGTTAAATATAGCAATAAAATATTGACGACTTCACTCCCAAACTTATTAATCCTGCATTTTCTATTAGGAATCGTACTATGTTTAATCAGCGCGGTAAAGGGGAACATACATTGGCTATTCTTTCTCTCACACATCGCATAAAGCACAGACGCGAACTCTGAGAAATGCGATAAACATCTCTGTACTCACCTTCTATCCGAGCGACTTGTCTGCCCAAGGCCATACGAAGGAACACCCATTTTATTTCGATCTTCAGTCCTCGTGCGATGAAATAAAACACTTCACACACTAACCGGTCCAGTATTAGTTTGATTTTCATTAAACAGAAATAACAGACCTTATAAGATTGATCGAAGAAACTAATTACTCACATTTGTTAAAGTTCGAGGCATTTGACGGATACATGTCTGCACTGTTGTTGGCATTGCTGCACGAGACCACTCACTAACTAGATGGCTTACCGAACCCGAAGGTTCATCACCAAATTAACCAAAGCCCTCCACCGGACCCTGTCCTGGGCCAAAAAATCCAGTCACCTTCAACTCCTATCTCCCGGTCTCCCCAGCGGTCTCTTCCCTTCAGGTTTCCCAACCAGTACCCGCTGCACACCTCTTGTCCCATCCATGCGCGCTACATGTCCCGCCCATCTCATTCTTCTCGGCTTAATCCCCCTGACAATACTGGGGGAGGAGTACAAATTTTTAAGCTCATCATTATGCAGCTTTCTCCATGCCCCATCGCCTCCTTGGCTCAAATATCCTCCTCAAAGAACTTTGTAACCCTTTCAAAGGATTTATTAGCTACCCTAAGATAATTTTGCCCGCCTGTCTTCTGATGACGAGATACTAACATGTACTTAGTTTTTTCTGAATTTACTTCCAGCCCCACTTGTCTACCAGCCTCTAGTAAAACTTCTGCGTTCCTCTTTATTGTATTTATATCGTCCCCCAATAAATTAACATCATCAGCATATGCCAATAGCTGATGTGTCCCATTCAATTGCAAATCCTCCTGCCTATCTTGGACTTTCCTGATAGCGTATTCTAGCGCAAAGTTAAAGAGCAAGGGAGACAAAGCATCTCCTTGTTTTAGACCGTTCTTGATGAGGAATGTCTCAGATACATATTTACCTACTCGAATTTTGCTGCAGGTTTCATTTAAGCACATTTTTATTAGACCCACTAGCTTCTTTGGTATACCAAATTCAATAAGAATATTATATAGCACTTCTCTCTTCACAGAGTCATAGGCTTTTTTGAAATCTATGAATAACTGATGTACGGTCCCACCGAACTCCCATTTTTTCTCTAGTATCTGACGAATGCAAAAGATCTGATCAATTGTTGATCTGTTACGTTTGAACCCACACTAATGATTCCCAATAATTTCATTCGCATCTGGGGTTAATCTTGCCAAAAGAATGTAGGATAGAATTTTGTATGGGGTTGATAGCAGCGATATTCCTCGGTAATTACCCCACTCAGTCTTGTCCCCCTTCTTATAAATAGGAATAATTATGGATTCCTTCCATTGATGTGGCATCTCTTCCTTATCCCAAATTAACTGAATAAGCTTATGGATCCTCCTATGCAACCCTTTGCCACCTGCTTTAATTAATTCGGCCGGAATCTTGTCAATTCCTGGAGATTTATAACTTTTCAACTTCCCAATGGCTAGTTCCACTTCATCTAAGCTAGGTTCTGGCACCAACAGTTCAGCTGTATGCATTTTAATCTGTCTAATATCACCAGTCTCATGAACATTTAAGAGCTGGCTAAAGAAATTGTTCCACCTATTCACAATTTTTATTGCATCTGCAAGCAAATTGCCATTATCATCCTTTACCAAATTGGTCTGAGGTTGATATCCTTTCTTAAAGTTATTAATGCCTCTGCACACGTCTCTGATATCTACTATTTGTCTCAAGATCAATAATTTTGCCCTTCAGGTATTCCCTTTTCTTATTCCTCAAGGTTATACTAGCTTCACGTCTCACGTTACACAGATCATCCGTATTTGTTTTGTTTGGGTCCTGCAACCATTGATATTTTGTTTGCTTCCTTCGATCTATCAATTTTGAACATTCTTCATCAAACCACGGTTTATTTTGCTTTCTCCTGCAGTATTCGAGTTTCTCTTTGGCTGAAATTTTCCCACTTCCGACCACTACTAATACGATGTTATATCACAGTATGGGTTGCAATCCAAACGTTAAATCAAAAATTACTCCGCATTTTTGGGACTACAAAACTCAAAACCACAATCTGCACATCATATTCAAATTTGTCCAATAAACACTTCGGATAAAAACTACCGCACTTCACGAAACAGCAACAACATTTATCGCGCCAATTCGAAAAGTAATACGCGACAGCGCTCAGCGATAGTGCATTGTCTGAGTGCGTTCAGTATGCATGACAAGCTTGCTGAATAATGTACATTTACAAATACGAGATAAGATTAATGCAGCTTGCGAGCAACTGTTGTGGGAATTAAATCCATTCCTTCCCGTCTCATGTTCCACGAAGTTGGTAGCTCTTATTACGTGATTCCTGAGAAAACGACGGATGACATGTCCAGTACTCACCGTTTTGCGATAAAAAAAACTGGACAACACACGTCTTAATAGGCGCATTTTGTATTTTATTACAAAAGCATGACTTATTTATTTTCTTGCACCACTTTCGTTTTATACGGGTCAATGGCAAAGCAAAACTCGGAAACGCGAATTAACGAACATGACGTAATATGAGGACGTCTTGTCACCAAAGTTTACGATAAAATCACTTTTAAAGGTAGCTAATAAATCCTTTAAAAATATCGCAGTATTCGGAAAGAATGGCAAGAAATTAAATTTCACACCTGCGACCATGCACTCGCATTACGAGGGGCCTCTAAATATGCGAGACATAACCTTACTTTATTACAATCGAAACTGCCGTGGCTTACATAACCTTCAACATAAAATGGACCGCCAAAATTCTGAACCCTAACCTCTCAACCCAGTCCACTAATTTTTAGGACAGAGTACTCACAGCATCCAGAGGTTACCCAACCTCACCTCAGACCTCAAGAGGATGCAATGGGAGGTCGAATAAAATCACTTACTAAAGTATTACACGCCCCGTCTCATCTCCTCCTCGTCACTTTTTCATCTCTCTGTATACCAGCAGAAAAGATTGCAGTGTAAATGCTCTGCGCTACAGGAGGGCAAAGGCCTATTAATGTAATCTTAAGACCATTTTAAAGACAACTCTTCAGCGTCACTAATACAATTTTTTGGGGATGCTCGGTAAACACCAATCAGTTTCTCAAGTAACACTCTGGTCCATGGAGTTAATTGGACGCAGTACGAGGCTGCATTCACGTCTCTCATCCGCTGATCATAAAATATGGTACAATGTATTTTTATAAATTGTTTTTTTGCATGAAGTGAATGCATAAAGGGTAGGTCATGAAAAAAATAAATGTGGGAAGGATCTGGAAGTGGTTGTGACCTAATTTAAAATACTATCCTAGCATCTGTAAATAAATAAATAATGAACTACAAAAACGACCCCAAGCGACATCTGCACTAGTTATTTAAAACGTATTAATTTGTGATGCCATTTAACTGCACCATATCCTGACACTAACTAACTAGATGGCTTACCGAACCCGAAGGTTGATCACCGAATTAACCAAAGCCCTCCATCGGTCTCTGTCCTCGGCCACCAAAATCCAGTCTCCTTCAACTCCTATCTCCCATAGATCCCGCCTGACATTATCCTCCCATCCACGTCTAGGTTTTCCCAGCGGTTTCTTCCACTCAGGCTTCCCGACCAATACCCGGTGCACACCTCTTGTCCCATCCATGCGTGCTACATGCCCCGTCCATTTCATTCTTCTTGACTGAATCACCCTGACAATATTGGGGGAGCAGTACAGATTTTTAAGTTCGTCATTATGCAGTTTCCTCCACGTCCCATCGTCTTCTCTCTTAGGCCCAAATATCCTCCTCAACACCCTGTTCTCAAACACCTGCAATCTGTGTTCCTCCCTCTGAGTGAGAGACCATGTTTCGCACCCATACAAAACAACAGGCAAGATTGTTTTGTATACTTTAATTTTCAGGTTCTTAGAAATCAGACAGGAAGACAAAATATTTTGAACTGAGAAGTAACAGGCATTTCCAGAATTTAGTCTCCTAATTTCCTCATGAATTTCATTTTGATTTGTTGTTGTCGTTTCCAAATATTTGAACTTTGCGACACTTTTAAAGGATTTATCCTGACACTAACCAATTAATTTAATTATGAAATTAAACTACGTTTACTTCGTACTTATGTGAGGAATGGCACACATGCACTGTATTTACTATGTTCTAACCTCAAGCACGCCTAGAAATTTATTCAGCGGCTTTTGCACATTAGCTGGCACGTAATAATTTCACAACAAATTCTCTTTTTATATTCACACATTTAATATAATTAATTTTACCCATTTCCTGGAAGAAGAAATGCTACTTTACATCTTAAACAAAAATTACTTTGAACTTCACAAAGTAAGAATTTTTAAAACGCCGATTCTGAATGTGAAACGGTAGAGAACTATCAGAAAATTTTTCAGTTTCAGATCATCTATAGAAAGAAGTAGGGACTGACTTACATGTAAAAAGAAGCAAGTATTTCTAATGCAACTGACACCAGCAGGTATCGCTGTCTGCAAAACCATCTCTTGGTCATGTTTACAGACGTTACGCAGATCCAAAACGCTCTGAACCACAAGTTCAATTGGGCGACTAAGCGTAGTAATTCAAATTAGCTTTCTTCTTTGCTTGAACTTCGAGTATCGCATCCATGAAGTCCTCGTGCGTCACAGCCACGGCACTCCTGCGCAACGCGATCATTCCCTGAAAAGCACCAGATTCAAATTTATTCCGCGGCAACGCGACTCAGCAAAAACTCTGTGAAGATCACAGAGTAAACTTTTTCATGCCCAAGTCTGACGTTAAAATACGTCATAAAACAAAATATAGCCCAGAATAACTTAGCGGGATTTGACCTTCTCTCACGTAATCCAACGGTATTCAATTTTCTTTGACATCCACAAACAATATTTGACGTCGCAGCAGTGAGAATAACAATGTCGGTCTTCTGGGTACTGAGACGTTTACGTATTTTACATTTTGAAACTGAAACGCGCTATACTTACAGCCTCAACACAGACGGCTTTACACTGAGCCCCATTGAAGTCGTCTGTAGATCGAGAAAGTTCCTCAAAATTGACGTCGGGACTGACATTCATTTTACGCGAATGAATCTGCATTATTCTGGCTCGTGCCTCTTCGTTTGGATGCGGAAATTCGATTTTACGGTCCAATCGACCGGAGCGAAGGAGAGCCGGATCCAGTATGTCCACTCGATTTGTAGCGGCTATTACCTGTAAATCAAATTGCGGAGTAAAAATCGAAATGTCAGTATTACTACGCTGTAATCTACCACAGACACGTACCATGCGGAACTGCGGCTTTTATCACAGTTGGTAATGAAGCTAATCCTCGTCACCG